AAAGTGCTTCAGCAACCTCCAAGAATCCCCTTTTTTTACAGCTGAATTTCTGAATGCCTTATATGACTGCACAGCAGAGCAGTTGGGCACACACAGAGCAGTCCCTGTGCAGTCTGGTTTTAGGGAAACCTCTGGGATCCAACCCTATTCTGTCACGTGGGGACATCAGTGAGCTCCTCTGCTCTGCTCTGATCAATCATCTCTGCCTTCCTTCCACAGTGATTGTATCCCAAATAACTGCAGTTGTGTGGCAGAATTAATTAATTAACTAATCAAGTGATGTGAAAAGTACCTTAAAGCAATAGTGTGTGTCAGGAAAACACAGTCTCTGTTTCTCTGCTCTGGCTTCACGTATGAAGTGTTCCAAGGAACGCTGTATTATACTGTAAACTAAAACATTAATGCATGAATTTATATTTTCAATGGTCAAGATGCCATTAAAGGAAAATCTCTGTCTCAAATAAATTTGGATACAAGTTTTCCATGTCCAGTTCTTAAATCCAAATAGCAAGTCGATCTGGAAAGACTCTTGGGACTTGCTTTACAATTCCCTTCCAAGCAGAAAATGGCCTCCAACACTGTGTCAAAACCCAAAGAAACCAAGACCCCTCAGACTTACTGGGAGCTGGAGCTGGAGCTGCCCAACCTGGTTCCAGAGCCGGGAGAGGAGGAGCCGGGAGGAGCCGAGGGACACGGCTGCACCACCTGGAGCCACCCCACCACCTCCCAACAAACACAAGGGGTTAGAGCTGCCTCAGACACCAAAGTACCCAGGGCACGTTATGTCTAGAAGCTTTATTGAGACTCGGGGTTCTGGGGTTGGGGTTTTTTGCGGTTTTGTTGTTTTTTTACATCTCACAATGCATTCCACAGACTTAGTTCAGTACAGCTCAAACTGCAAGTGTATAAATGTTCACTTCTCATTTCTTGCATAACAGGACAGGGCTTAAAAGTTTCCAAACAACATTTGCAGCATTAGATACTCGGTCCACAGATTATCAGAGCCTGAGAGCTGGAGAATTATTTGCTCAAGATCAACTACTGTACATTTGTGCAACAAAGTGTGTAGCTGGAATTCTCTGTTACTCTATGTGCAGGTTCTTTGTTCGGGTCTCTGCTGTTGTTTCCAACAGATGCCAGTGTTTACAGAAGACCTTTGAGTTTGTCAGGCTCGAGCTTGGAGCTCGCCCAGGCCTCAGCCAGTTCTCTGAAGTACAAAGCACTGTGGAGCAGCTGAAAGATCTAAGCTTTGTGAAACACATATATATATATATTGGCAATTGATAAAACAATAAAATCACAATACAGCTATACTCATACCAAAAAGGCAAGATTTTTCAAAACTTGCTAAACTGGTATATTCTCCTAAAACATCTCATTTTAGAAAATCTGCATCAATCTACACAGACCATACACAGTGCACAGACTGGAAAGTGTTTGTTCTCCTCTGCCCCCCCTGCTCTCCCCTCCGGCCGCAGCACAACTACCTGGGTGAAGCATGTACAGCTCTCAGTCGTGGTATGAGCAGAGCTGCACAGGGGAAGGAAAGATGATTAGTTTAGATCCATACATAGCAGCTTACAATACTTAACATGATGAAACACATGGCAGTCAAAACAGTTATTTTTTTTTTTTTCCTCAAACACTGCGTCGCTAAAAAATAAAGATCTGTGAAATTGCACTGCAATGTCAAGGGGTTTGCTATTCCCTGACCCTCCCCGTGGAAATCCAATGAGTATTTTTTTTCCCCCTTAAAAGATGAACTTCCTATTGATAAGTTGCTTCGGGCTTTTTTATTCAGTTTTGCGCTTCAACCCAGGGATCTTTGCTTGGATCCTGAAAGAAGAAGGAGAAGGAAAAGAACAGCCTTTGAGTAACAAACAGAGAAAAAGTAGGTATAAACACAGTCTTCAAAACAGCAACATGCGAGAAGAACCATCACAACACAACTTTATAACTCTAAACTCTTCACTCCCCCCCTCAACTGCACTTGCTGAGGGGCTCAGGTGTCACTAATGGGCGGAAATCCACAGATTTCCATTAGAAATAATAAAGGCTCAATTTAACACCAGCATCAGCAAGAAAGGAGGTGATTTTCTCACCATTCCAGAGTTAAAAAGACCTTTTTCCTCCTGGCACATGCAATGACACATTTGCTGCCCTAGACAGGAGTGGCACATGAACCAGGAACTGTCACCAGCACAAAGGGAAAGCAATAAAACCAAAGCAGAGCAACTCACTTTGCCATGGCATCTTTGACATTCTTGTTCACGAGTCCCAAGTAATGGTCGATTTGGGCCTGGAATTGAAGCAGACACAAGTTAGAGCCCAACTGTCCCTTTGCAGAGTCCCAGAGAAGCCCTGGGTGCAGTGGGAGCTCAGCCGTGGGGATTGCCCAGTGATCCAGAGCTGCTGTGCCAGTGTTGGCCCCCAGGAATGCCCAGAGCGCAGGGCCCAGTGGGCAAGGCCCTCATTAAACCCCCTGGCTCCTGTCTGGTCCATCCCAGCCAGCTGTGGGTGTCCAGCCAGGGCCCAGTGGGGAAGGCCCCCATTAAACCCCCCTGGTCCATCCCAGCCAGTTGTGGGTGTCCAGCCAGGGTCCAGCGGGCAAGGCCCCCATTAAACCCCCCTGGTCCATCCCAGCCAGCTGTGGGTGCCCAGCCAGGCCCCCTCGGGGCCCCCCCGGAGCAGCAAAGCTGCTTAGCTGGGCCTGGTAACCAGCTTGAGAGGATTGAGGAGCCAGGCTAAGCCCCACCATCCCTGGCCATCCTCCTGCCCTGGGCTCCAGCTCTCCTTTCACTGGACCCCGTGGGGCTCCACCATCTGCTCCAGCCTCCCTTCTCCCAGTGCCAGCCTGGGCTCCGGGGTCCTTGTTTGTGAAAGGGGAGAAGAACGGCTAAGCCAGAGCTGGCTCCCCCCTCCTGTGCCCTGACCTGCCCAAGACAGTCCTGGCTATAATTTAATCACAGGCATTTGAGTTTGGCTCCTTCTTCCCTCCTCCTTTTACACTGGTGTCTCTCCCCAGGAGCAGCACTGGACTGGGCCAAGCAGCTCCCACCTCCTGTTTTTGCCAGGGCTACAAATTCCACAGGGCTTCGGGAAACCAATCCTGAATATCAGCTCCAAAGAGGTTTCTTCAGGAATTGTTTTAGAGGTGCTGCCAGCAGGATTAGCACACCTTGCCCCTAGTGCTGCTCTAGTCCTGACCAAAGCTGACCAGCACAGAAGACCTCCAGGTTCATCAGGCCTTTTCCACAACTGTTTGCCGGGAAAACCTCTTCTAATTCCACCAAAAAGGAGGAGGGAAGCACACACGGTCTGGACTTCAAAATGAACTTGATTTTCTTGGCCCTGGCTCGTGGTCAAAAGCCTATTTTTAAAGGCTTTAAAGATTTTAAAAACCAAAATTAATTTTAGTTTTATTTGTTTCCGGTTCTGCTTCAAAAAAACTGCTTTTATGAGGCATTTAATGAATTCTATTAAACACTCACCTGATGTCTCTCATAAATAACAGGAACACTGAAGAGCGAAATCAAAGCTGGAAAAGAGCACATCAAAGGTATAAGTACTGACAAGAGGGACGGTGTTCAGGCAAAACAAAGACTGGTTTCCACCCCTTGACCTGTCTGGCAAAAAGGTACAAGAAATAACTAAGCCCCAGACACAAATTGTTGGCCAGTTAATGAAATAATCCCTATTAAGGAGAGCCTGGGCTGTTCTCCAGGGCTCACTGTACAGTAAGTCTGGTCACAGGTCACTTTTCCACTGTGGGTTATGCAAATCCTTCCCAAAGGATGCTCAGGCATCACTTGGTTCTGACACTGAAGCCAGCCAGCTGTGGGATACAAGGAATAAAACTGCAGTGGGACAGGGCCACAGCAGGTCCTGTTCCTCCCCAGAGTCCCAGCACAGCCAGGACACCCAGGGCAGGTTCACCCTGACAGGGACAAGCACAGCAAATGTGCCTGTAAATAAAATGTCTGGAAAACCAGCAGCCTCCAGACTCAAAATGCCCTGTTGTGCAGTGTTACCACAGCCCTAGAAAAAGGCCCCACAGGAAGAGGCTCCCAGTGTGGCCCAGAGCTCAGTGCTTCCCCAGGCAGGAGTGGCAGGAGTTGAAGGGAGCTGGCAGGACTTACCCAGGATCAGCAATGTCAGACCATTGAACAAGGCACCGACATAAGTGAACACCCACATCAACACCGCAAACTGCAAAGGCAAAGAGAGCCCGTGAGCGCGGATGGGATGGCACAAACCCTGCAAACCCCAACAGCACCCCCTGCAAACCCCAACAGCACCCCCCGCAAACCCCAACCGCCCCCCCCACCGCCACACCCCCCCCACACCCACACACCCCCCACCGCCACACCCCCCCCACAGCCCTGGAACCAGAGCGGGGACAGCCTGGTTGCACGTGCAGGGCACAGGGCTGGAGTCAGTGCTCGTGTCCTCTGCCCTCACTGCACTGCCACTGCCATGGCAGGGATGACAGACAAACAGCTCCTGCCTCCCACCCTCCCGAGGGGGCACAGGCCAGGAGAGGCTGAAGGGCTGGTGAGTGACACCGAGCCAGAAAGAAAGCAGCTCAATGCTGGGGGGCCCTGCAGCCAACTCAGGAGTGTCCACTGTGGCTCCAAACTGCCCCCACTGCCCTTTGCTCAGCAAAGCTCTCACTGAACCCTTGACTAGACCAGGCAGAGGTTTCTGTCACATCAGAGGAAACCCTGTCTAGGAGGTAACATGGTAGGCTTGGCTTGATATACCTTTTTTCCTTCAAAAAGCCCAAAGGTGCTTTGGATATTAAAAGATTTCGGAAAGAGAGGAGTCAACAGTGCCCTAAAATGGAAGCTGGCTCCAAGTCTGAGGCAAGTTCAGAAGCCAAGACACCCTTTGTGCTGACAGACACCTGCAGCCTCACAGTGCCACCATTCCAGGCTCCCTGTCCCAGCCCTGTTCCTCCCTCCTGCTGACGGGGCCCCGGTGGGACACAGGCTCTGCTCCACCAGCTCCACAAAGCTCTGCCAGGCCCAGCCCCCTGTGCCCGTGCCAGGTGGAGTGTCCCAGGCACACCTCTGACCTATCCCAGGGGAGAGGTGCCAGCTCTATTTCGGGGCAGGATTCCTCCCAAGGAAAATCAGCCGGTTCCGTCTAGAGTTGCAGGGCCAGGGAGGAGCTGAGCAGCAGCAGGGCTGGTGTCACCAACAGTGGTTTTCCCACACAGACCCCCAGCCCCTGGGGCAGCCAAGCACAGGGGGGTATTTTCTGTGCAAGGCACCACAGAACCCTGGACAGACACCATGGGAAGGCTGACATGGCACCAGGGAGGGAAGAGCTGGGCACGGGGACCAGCCCAAGGTGAGACACCAAGGCAAGGATGGGACAAAGTGCTGGCAAGGAAAACAAACACTCAGTGAAGGGCCGAGGGTGGGGACCAGGATCCTGCTGACTGGCCTGCAGCCAGGTCACTCTGAAGTTATACATCCCAACCTCCAATTTTAGCTTATCTTAGGATGTAAAATACCCAAAGCAAACAAAATCAACAGCCAGAAACAAGATAAGGGCCTGACACTCAACACAAGTTTAATTCCACGACCTTTGAGATGAAATGAAGTTTACTGCAAGAGGTTCATTCAGAATTGATCCCATTCAAGATTCAGGGGAATGAACTGCAAGTGATGCAGCTCTTTATCTGGCAGCACTCTGCAGACATGACAAAGCAGCACAAGGGGCACAAAGTCAACGCCCAGACTGCAGTTCCCAGCCCTGCACTGCCACTGAAGCTTTATCAAGAACAACAAAGCAGCTCTGCCCCACCTCAAAGCTTGGCCCAGCTCAGCTCTGCAGTGCCAGGGTGAGCCTGGCCGTGCCATCCCTGCACAGGGCATTTTACTGGAGCAAACAATCCCAGGGCAGAGCCAGCACAGGCAGCACATCCCCCCCAGCCAAGGGGGGAAAGGTTCCAGCTTTTACTTGGCAAAAAGCCCCCCCAGGTTTGTGATGGTTCACAAGGATTCTCTTGCAGTGAATTAACCAGCCTCAAGCACCCACAGTGAAGCATCCTGACAGCTATCCATGCTTTGTTCCCCATGGACACAATTCCCAAAGCCTCAGCACCAGCCCAGTCAGCCCAGCAGTGAGGAATATTGCTGACAACTGTGCCCAGGGCAGAAAGTGTGAGTTTATGTAAGCAGAGGGGTAACAGGACGTGAATCAATCCCAAAGTCCAACAATTATCAGAATTATCCAACCCTATTAGTGAGCACTGAATTTATGGCTCGAGAAAGAGCAAAATCCAGTTCACATTGGACTGACTCAGGTTTTGCTTCTCCCAAAGTCTGTCCAGAGCAGCAGCAGAGTCTAAGCAGGTTTGGGCAGGTTTTGATCCCCTTGCCTTGCTGGGGCTGGGTGGGGCAGGGACCCCGAGCCCAGCCCCACACACACTGTAGTGAGGGGCAGCTCTGGGGAAAGCTGGGGCTACAGAGCCCAGAGCTCAGACCTCCTGTCACAGCTCCTCTCCCTGCACCCTTCTGACATCCCAAATGGATTATATGGACACTCAATCCCACTCTGAATTATCTGGCTCCAGGGTTTTTTCCCTTAGAAACAAGGTAAACCCAGGGACCACTACAAACACTCCAGGGCTCACCTGAAACACGTCTAAGAGACACACACAAGCACAAAAAGCTTTACCTGGAACACCTCCAAATGCCTAAAGCTTGAAGACAAGAGAAAAAAAAGGAGCAGAAGGCCAGGATGGACCTGCAGAGCTGATGGGTGCAGGGGTGGGAATGCTCAGGGTTGTCCAGCCGAGCTCAGCCCAACCCTTCCAGTGCTGTGCACACCAGCAAACCCCCTCCAGCTGATGGACTGGCTCCAGCTCTGCCAGCCAAAACTGCCAAATCCACAACTGCCCCCATGGCCCTTCTTTACTACAGAACATTCCAGGCCCAGCCCACAGCTCTGCTTCTCAAAGCCTCAGCTGTGCCAGGGCCAGCACAGCTCCCACTGCACTGAGCACTTTTACCAGGACAAATTGCACCTTCTCCTGGGACTCTGGCAAGGGCTCCTCTGGCACTTACTCCTCAAGAGCTGTGAGGAATTTCTCCTTGTGCTACATAAATATTTAGAGTCCATTTTAAGACTTCCCCGACTGAAGCATTGTTTAATAAAGAAGAAAAAAAATCTTCAGGAGACAGATTTTACAGCCGGAATTATTACACACAATAAACTGACCTGCAGACATTTTCTACATTACAGCTCTGTAACTGGAATTATACACAAACATATGATTTCCTATAGTGAAGATGTTTAAACTACGTGAGCCAAGATATTTTTATTTTAAACCAGGGCCATTCTATTACATAAGAGCCCAGAATCCCAACGTTCTCCTCGAGCACAAACTCTTCAAAAATCAGTAACTCGTGCTGGTGAACTGTCCTGACATTCACTGCCTTCATATAAAGGGTTGTTCCCAACCACCATAAATTAGACTAATTAACCTACATAAAACATTTTAAATGTCAGAAGGAGAGAGGGGAAACGAATTAGTTCAGCTGAACAAACATGTCTTTCCTATGTACTGTAGTATTTTAAAAGTGATTAGAGTGCCTTGAAGTCATTCTGGTTGGAATTAACTCTAATTCTAACATAATTCCTCCACAAGGCCTCATTTTTAAAGCAGTGCTCACTGGAACAGCAGTTGGCTGCTCACTCCTCCTTCACTACAAGGGGTTGGGATCTCTACACAAATGGTGGGAAAAGCCTCCTAACAGAGCAAGGGCTGTACCACAAAGGGCTTCATCCCAAACACAGGTGACCTTGGGATTGAGTTGTGCTGTGCTGTTCTTTAATCAGATCCAAACACGACTTAAGCCAGAAAAATGTCCAGAAAAATGACCAGAAAAGAACAACTCAACCAGCTCCCCCCAAAAACACCTTCTCCTACACAGCCCTGAGATTATTCCACAACCCCATCTCCTCTCTCCCTTCTGAGCAAATGGCTCTGCCTCAGGAGCAGCAGTGCCCAGGGAAGCACCCCACATCCTTCCCACACTTCCAGAGGGAAGGGACCCCCTGCAGGAGCCCTGCCCAGCCCCAGGCACAGCTTTTCTGGCACAGATTGCAGGAAGGTGGAGGACAATGAGAACCTGGATCTAGAAAGGGTGGGTAAGATGCCCAGATCTACCCCCAGTTTCTATCCCACAAATCCCACAGACTTGGACAGCCTTCACAAGGAACCCCTCCCCCAGCCCCACAACAACTCCAAGGACTTCACAAAGCACTAAGGAAGGGATTTACTGGAGGATAAATGCAAGTTTTTTTCAAGAAGATTAAGCAAACTGAAAGAGAAGTGGACAACACATTGCACTTGGTAAAGGAAACACCCCTTTGGAAAACAAAGGAAGGTGACTAAAGCCTGAAAGGGGAGAATATAATTCTCTCAGAACAAAACTGAGGGTTTTCAGTCAATTCTTTTATTTTGGGGATTGCTTTTCTCGTGTTTTGGGGTTTTTTCCCTTCTCTTTGTTTCATTTTGATTGTTTATTATTCTTCTTCTCTGTCAGTTTTGCTCTGCCGCCCTCAATAAATCCCATTAAACCCCACTTGGATTGCCTCGAGCTGTCAGACAGCCCTGCACACTTCAGGCAGAGTAACTGCAAACCCCATTTCAGTAATTCACTAAAAGCAGCAGCTCTTCACTCCCAAATCCAGGGGCTGGAACAAGTGTCCACCTTCCCAGTAGCTCCAGGGGATCACTCAGGAAGTGGACACAAGAACCCTCCTGTCCAGGCAGGGAGCTGTGTGCTAACCACAGACAGAACTCCACAACACTGAGGCAATGCAGCCTCAAACCAGGTTTTCCAGAGGGACACATCCACACTGGTGATTAGTGGAGCAGTGGTTTGTTTTCTTACCAGATTCCTGCTGGGAATCACCAGTGAGGAGCTGGGATTTCATCCCCCTGTCCAAGTGCAGCTGAAGTTATCCACCCTCGATACACCCAACTCTGTGCCTGAGGTATCTCCCCAGCAAACAACCTCCTTGTTTACCCAACCAGAGCCATTGTTTGCAGGGAGCAGTGGGGTTTGCTGACCTGGTGTCCTACTTAGAGCAGCTGGGACCAGTTCAACCCCAAACTGTGTATTCTAGAGCCTTCCAGGCCATTGCCCAGAAACTGGTATCAACAGACCATTTACACCCTCTGCCCAGAGCAGCCCTGACCCCTCAGGCTGTAAACTGGGTGTTCAGAGGCCTGTGAGACAGGAGGGTGCTCCTGTCCTCACACCCAGGGTGGAACTCCCCACCCTCAGGGAGGGACTGGGCATTCCTGCCTGAACCTGAGGATATATAATCTTGGAGTCTTGGGACTTTTTGAACCACTCGTGGGATGCAGAGGAAGACTGAGACCACTACTCTCAACTGGACTGCAACCACTACTCTCAACCAGACTGCAACCACCACTTGTCACCAACAGGTTTTTCCCCCTCTCCTTTTACTTTGGACTCAGGGGGCCCAACGAGCACCACTCTGTTCATGCCCCAGGGTGCTGGGTTAGACATTTGGGGTTTGTGGGTTAAAACCAACTGTTTGTCTGTATAATCGTACTTATTGTATTATTTTAGTAAATTGTTCTTCTGACTTATAATCTCCCTTTTGAGTTGGGTTCATTTCCCCTGACTGTTTCCCTTTAAAGCAGCACACCTGGCTCAGCACCACCTCCTCACAGGGGGCAGGGAGGACTCACCTTCAGGGAATCCACCAGGTCATCGACGAGGAAGAGGCGCCGGAGCTCGCGCACGGTGCCGTTGACGTGGCCCAGCACGACGTTGCTGTACTTCTGGATGAGCTCCTCGGACACGGCCACGTCACAGTCCAGGTAGGCCCTGCAGGGAGAGCAGAGTGTGAGACCTCCCTGCACCAGAGCTGCCCAACAGGGTCACAACTGGCACAAAAACCAGCCACACATCTCCTGTGTGTGTGACACCTCACCGTGGGAGGAACCTTAGACACCACAGAATTACCCAAGTCATTCTCAGGGAACCTTAATAAAAAACCCCACAATCTCTCAGGAGAAAAGCAAAACATCTATTTCTCACTGCTGCTTGCTCAGTCACACCCAGGCTTACCTTATACATGTGGGCAGCTAACACATGTATAAGAAAAAGTCCCACCAAAGCAACATATCCATTTATGCCCCTGGAAGGCACTTGTGGAGCTGCCATTAACTGCAACAAAGCTCTTATGGCATGGGAAAATGAGCTAAATTTTTCATCATTTGCTAAAAAAAAAAAGAAAAATAAAAAGGCTTTCTTACAGTTAGTGACAGTTCTTTTGCATAAAGATATAAACCCCTATCTGGTTAGCTCTCCTTCCACTTCACTGCCACTTTTATCTGTAGCTGCAGTGACTGTGGCCACAATTTCGGTCTTTAAACAAGGTATAATTTATTTATCTAATGTGCTGGAGGAGGCAGAAGGAGCAACACAGCACATCTGTAAAAGGGAACTCATTTTACAGTTGTAAACTTCTACTTTTGGTTGGGAGGATTCTGCTTTGGGGTGGGTTTGTTTGATTTTTTTTTATTATTATTTTAATAAAAAATGCACACAGTGGAGGCTCCTGTGTATGTCACTTAAGGCCAAGCTAAACATGACCTTGTGGCAAATTCAAGACAAACTGAAGCACTTTAAATGGGAACTGCAGCAGCCATTTCGGGGCTGTATTTTGCACTCACCCATCTGCTCACCCTTCTCAGCTCATCCAGGAGATGTTCATCAAAAATTCAATTATCTCATGGGATGTTACAAGCAAAAACATCCTTCTTGTAGCTGAAGCTACACAGGCAAAAAGTAACCAACCAAGGATGTTGGAAAAGAATGTCTGGAGGTTACTTAGGAATATCAGCATTTTTAGGAACCAACTGCAGAAAGGGCACAGGTAGAACAAGTTCTGCTTTTTCTTGTGAAGAAAGAACTTGGAAACATTGTTTGGATACTGAGGGAATTATTCACCCTAAGGAGGGGCATTTGTTCCCTAACACAGGAATAAGTTTTCATTTCTTTTAAGATGCAGCTTTGCAGCAACAGGCACCTGGATTCTGTCTCTGACAAGGCAGCCTTGGAGCTCAGAACAAACCACACATTTTAAAAGTGTTCTGAAGAGTTCCAAAAAGATCAAAGCAGCCCTTTGTGATGGTTTAACCCCTATTATATTTATTCTGATTTTTGCTAAATAAATTGTGTTGCAAGTGCTGGGTATTCTTTAGAATATGAATTGGGGACAAAATTTAAAGGCCACACCATTCTGAAATGCTCATATTACTCCACCAGACTGAAGGGGTTTATTTTTTTAATGCATTCCCAGCGAAATCAACGCCCCTGTACCAAACCCTCGGTCCATTTCTGTGTTTATTGTGGGACCACTGAGAAAAACAAACTGTGGGACCACTGAGAAAAACAAACTGTGGGACCACTGAGAAAAACAAACTG